TATCATTATATTTCAATTTCAAAAGTTCTGTCTTTAATAAGAAAGATGTCAACAGATCTCCTACCTTGAACATGCTCACCACCCCAAACAGTTGAATTGGGACAACCTTTGGGGTGACATTTGAGATAGATTTTGAAGGATGTACAGAATTTTGAAAGATAGATATGAGAAGGATTTTCCTACTGACATTAATAAAAGCACAGAAACAGGAAAGATTGTGGTGTGTCTAGAAATTGTCCCATTTGATTAGAATAAGGGCTATATGCAAAAGAATAATGAGAGGAAAGACTGGAAAAGTAGACGAAGGCCATAGTATGAAGGACATTAAATGTTTGGCTCAGGGGTGAGTTCACTTTGTAAACCACAAATGCTTCATAAACATTGGAATTATTGTTATTAACATTTGTTAGTTGACCGAGAGCCACAGCTCTGATAATGATTGGTTAAAAAAGATGAAAGAGAGATCTAAACAGAGTAGTACAGTATACCAGCAATGCCTGTATGTTTCCAGTTCTTGTTCCCACAAAAGTCACCAGTGACCTCCTCATTGACAGTGTTACTGGCCTACTGTCACTCTTATGCAACTTGAGCATCCTGCATTGTTTGACACTAATTGCTTGAAACTCTCTCATCCTTTGGTTTCCATAATACTTTCTTGATTTTTCTTCTCTCTCTTGACCTGATCTTTAATAATTTGCTTCACAAGTTATTGCTCCTCCAACTGCCTGTACTAAGAGGACATTCTCCAGTATTCTATCCTTGGTCTTCTTACTCTCTACATCAGTGGTCTCTAACTTTTCAAGCACCAGGAACCGGTTTCATGAAAGACAGTTTTTCCATGGGGGTGCACGCAGAGCTCAGGTGGTGAAGGAGAGTGGCTGGAAATACAGATGAAGCTTCGCTTGCTCACCTGCCACTCACCTTCTGCTGTGTTGCCCCCCACTCCCTGCCAAATTTCAAGGAAGACAATTTTTCAATGGATGGCAGCGGGAGTGGGAGGTGGGGGGTGGGTGGGGAGATACTGCAGGGCTCTGTGGCCCAGTTCCACAGAGCTTGGGGACCACAGGGGTTGGGGACCACAACTGTACACTGTGCCTGGGATACACACATAACAGAAATATATATAAGGAACAGAGGCAGCAAGAAGGAAAGAGTGGTTAACTAGATGAACAAGTTGGGGAATGGCAGACAGGCATGGCCAAAGGCACTGAGGCATGAGAATATAACATTTCCAGAAGCAATAAGAGCCTCCACATAACGCAGAAGCATAAAATGCAATGAGGATGAACTATACACCTAAAAATGTCTGGGATGGTAAATTTTATGGTATGTGTTATTTACCACAATTAAGAATGAAAAAAAAATTTTTTTAATTCAATGTGGCCAAGTGCTGTGGCTCACACCTATAATCTCAGCACTTTGGGAGGATTGCTTGAGGTCGGGAGTTCAAGACCAGCCTGGACAACATAGCCAGACCTTTGCCTCTACGGAAAAAAAAAAATATATATTAGCCAGGGACTACCGGTGGTGGCACGCACCTGTAATCCCAGCTACTGGGGAGGCTGATGCAGGAGGATTGCTTGAGCCTAGGAGTTAGAGGTTACAGTGAGCAATGATCATCCCATAGTACTCCAGCCTTGGCAATAGAGCAAGACCTTGTCTCCAAAAAAAATGCAATGGGGAGAGTATCTAAAGACTAAGCTGGGCCTGGTGTGGTGGCTCACACCTGTAATCCTAGCACTCTAGGAGGCGGAGGTGGGAGGATCAATTGAGGCCAAGAGTTGGAGACCAGCCTGAGCAACAATGAGACCCCATCTCTATAAAAAAATAGAAAAATTAGCTGGGCATGGTCATGCGCACCTGAGGTCCCAGCTACTTAGGAGGCTGAGGCAGGAGGATCGCTTGAGCCCAGGAGTTTGAGGTTGCAGTAAGCTATGATGACACCACTGCACTCTAGCAAAGGCAACATAGCAAGACCCTGTCTCAATCAATCAATCAATCAAATAAAGACTAAGCTGGAATGAGCAACTGCCTACCTTCCCCGCATTTTCTACTTGCAAACTCCTATTCATCTTTTATGAAATGACTCAGATATCTAAATGATGCCTCCTTTGTGAATCTGATGTGATTCCCTCAGCCTGTGCTGCCTTAACCCCCACTGTGCTCCCATAGCTCTTTATTTTTTTTAATTTATTTAAATTATTTTATTACTTTATTTCTTTTTTCAACCCAATACCACAAATGAAATCCCATAGCTCTTTAAATATACCTCTATTATGGCACATCACACTATATGGGAATTTTTTATTAGCTTCTCTGTTTGCCTGACAAGACTATGAGTACCTTGAAGGATGACATCATTACTCACATAAACATCAATCCTATACCTCTATAAGAATTATTAACTTAATTAGTTAATTTATTTACTATTATTTAACTGCATACCACCATACCAGGCACAGTGTAGAGCTGTGATCCCCAACTCCTGTGGTCCCCAACCTCTTGTAGGACTGGGCCACAGAGCCCCACAGTCTCCCCCCTACCCCCTGCTGCCGTCCATTGAAAAATTGTCTTCCTTGAAACTTGGCAGGGAGTGGGGGGGCAGCACAGCAGGAGGTGAGTGGCAGGTGAGCAAGCGAAGCTTCATCTGTATTTCCAGCCACTCTCCTTCACCACCTGAGCTCTGCGTGCACCCCCATGGAAAAACTGTCTTTCATGAAACCAGTTCCTGGTGCTTGAAAGGTTACAGACCACTGGTATAGAGATTGAGAAGACCAAGGATAGTATACTGGAGAATGTCCTCTTAGTACAGGCTTTGCATGTACGATCTCCTTTCAAGCCAAGATGAGAGGCTAGGTATCTTGCCACAAGTCATACAGTTAATCAGTAGTGGAGATTGGAAACCTAATTGACATTTTAATGACAAAGTAATCAATAAAAGAAGTTTCCAAGAGGCAAAAGGAGAGAGTGGGATCTAAAGTATTAGTGAAAAGACATGGCAGGAAGAGTTGGCCTATTTGGTGTCAGACACTATGCTATGCACCTTACTGAAGTCATTTCATTTAAAATTACTTCAACCTCATGAACTCTCCAAGAGATGTAGGTACCACAATAAAGAAATTAAGGTTCAGGAAAGTTATACTTCTTGCCTGAGATCACAGAGGCTAGTGGGAGACAGGGCCATAATCTAAGATCTCTCCCAGCATTTCTCACTTGATTCCTGGAGAAAGGAGTAGAAAGATGAAAAAGAGATTTTGAAGTGGAAAAGAGATTATCCAGAGGGCCATATCAATGAATTAGAATCATCAGACTAAGTGGGCAGGGTGATTGAAAAGCCTGGGGAAATTCTGGAACAACCTCTGTGAGGAAAAATTTTTTTTTAATTTCAAGTAAACTTGAATAAATAGAGTTGATGAGCACCACTTAGGTGACCCAACTGAAGTTAGGTTTCATGAATTTGTGATAAACACAATAAGCACATATATATATATATATATATATATATATATATATATATATATATATATATATGTGTGTGTGTGTGTGTGTGTGTGTGTGTGTGTATAATACACATACACACTTTCTTCAGCCATTTTTGTCATCCCAGGAACAAAGAAAGTGGTGCAGATTGTCAAACTGTTAGCAGTAGGCAATTCTGGGAGTAGGGAGAGAGCTGAGAAGAACTTTGGATTAATATTAAGGACTTACAGAAATGGCTGATTATAGATTCCAATCTGAGGCCCTGCATTTGACTCCACCCAGGCTAAATCCAACTTTCCTCCTTCATCAAACCTGAACCTTCTTAGCTGTATGAAACTGGAGAAAACAGACAATGACTTTATCTGGCATCGCTATAAATTCATGATCACTGACCTCAAATGTGGCCTTAATGCTGCCCAGCAATTAATGATACTTCACTTCCTAAGTCTCTCATTCACTCTCCCACTCCTCAGACTTTCATCATCTCTAATCTGATGATGACCTTGCTTCCTATTTCATCCAGAAACTTTAAGCAATTAGAAGAAACATCCTACCAGCTCCCTCCACTGCCATTCTGCACTTCCCTGCATGTGTCAATATGCCCTGTCTTCCATCCTGTTGCTATGAACCGAACATGCTCCTGCCTACGGCCAAACTCTCTTCCTCTACATCAGATCCCATCCCTTCTTCCCTACTCAAGTATACTCAAGGGTCCCTCCAACAATTCTCCCATCTCTCTTTTGGTCTTTGATTTTTCCCTTTCTACTGGATGGTTCCCATCAACATCAAACATCAAATGTGCTGTAATTTCTCCCATCTTACAACAGAATGAAACAAACCAAAACCCAAACCTTCACCTGAGTTCAGATCACCATCCAGTTTTAGCTACCACCATATTTCTGTACCCTTATAGAAAAGCTCCTCAAAAGAGCTGTTTGTTCTCACCGTCTTCATTCCTCTGCTCCCCTTCTCTCCTGAGTCCTCTTCAGCTGGGCGTCCCACTCACTATGGGTCACACTGAAATTCTTCCTGCCAAGGTTCCCGTCGTCCTCCATGTGGTCAGACACAGCACTTCATCCCCAGGCCTCACCTTCTGTGACCTTTCAACATTTGACACAGTTGATGTTGCCCTCCTGCTTGAAACTGTCTTTGTTTGGCTTCTAGAACATCATGCTCTCTCTGACTTTTCCCTCTTCTCACTGAACGCTGCTTCTCTGTCTTCTTTGCTGGTTTGGCCTCATTGCCCCCACCAAAAGGTGTTCACATTTAATGCCTTCCATTTTAGCATAAATTGTGTGGTTCTTTTTGCAGCAGACATGCTTTTCTGATTACATCTTGTGCATCTGTAATTTAATTAGCTTTCATTCTCTGAGCGTATACCAACTGGCTAAAAAAGGAGTCTCAGAAACATGCTGTGCGGGGAAGGGGAGGTATTCGGGGATCGCGGGGCCTAACCTCCACACAGAGGTTAGGCCCCCCTGCAGTCACTCATCAGCCCTTGCATGTCTTCTCTGTTGCAGTGTGTTCCTGCCATCCGGTTGGATCAGCTGTCCTTCCTTTCAGCTCAGTGACCTTCTGTGACCCCAGCAATGGTGACTGCCCTTGCAAGCCTGGGGTGGCAGGGCCACATTGTGACAGGTGCATGGTGGGGTACTGGGGCTTCGGGGACTACGGCTGTCAGCCTTGTGACTGTGCAGGGAGCTGCGACCCTCTCACTGGAGACTGCCTCAGCAGGTGAACGTGCATGGCTCTTGCTCTTGTCCATGTGTCTTTCAGATTCTTTTGAAGATCTGGGAGTGATTTGGAAAATCTTGCATTCCACTGGTGGATCAAAGATATGTTTGCACATCTCTTTTTTAACAAATTTTTGTCAAATCACAAAATCAAATAATTTTTTCTTGCAAGATTCTAAGAGATGGTCTAGTTCATTTTGCAAAATATTAATAAATTCTTCACAATAGTTCCTTAAAACACTGTTTAGTTCTGGAAAGTGAAAGTATAGGAAGGTAGATTATAAGGTTTAAATCTCTGTAAATAGATTCGTTTCTTTTCAAGGTCTAAAAATTCCTTAATAAGTTCTCCATCATTTTCTATTTTATTAGCAGCACAGACATGGACTGGTATCATGAAATTCCTGACTTCCATTCCATGCAAAATAAGAGCGAACCAACCTGGGAGTGGGAGGATGAGCAAGGATTTTCAGCACTTCGACACTCAGGTGAGACAGATATAACCGAATATCATATTTCTAGGTCTGGTCTTGAGGAACAATGATGTGTGACAAACCAGGGAACATCTTTTGTATCCTGTGAGGGGAAGGAATTCCTTAGTTCTAAGGTTTAATAGTGTAGTAACCCCCATAAGTATAAAACTGTAACATATAGTTAAGGGAATTTTAACAAACTTTTAAAAATCTTATTATTATTACATTACCAGGTATAGTTAGTATAGAAAATTTGGAAAATGCAAAACATTACATTAAAAAAAGGTCACGCCAAATCTCATTATACCACTGTTAATACTTTGGTGTGTTTTCCTCTCTCTAACGGACAGTTAAAATTAAAATCTAACTAAATATCTCAAGTTTGGCAATGTACAAATTCATTTAAGGAAAAAATATTCTTACAAACCTGGTGTAACTGAAGATGTACAAAGCAAAAGCTAGATGTGAACTCCTCATGTTTATAGCTTTTTTGCAACTAGAAAACAAAAGTAATTTTACAAACTAAATATAAGCCAAATAATAAGATGAATAAAATTAACATGAATTGCATATGAAAAATGATTTTTAACTAAGGCCTAAAGACTGTTCACTACATACATATGGTTCTTTGCATTTACTAAATCTAGATTACTATTTCCTCTGATTTGATTTTCCTATGACACTTTTCTGTTCCTTCTTTTGAAGAATGGGCTATGATATTGGTGTGAATACTTAATTTCTGTGTTTATGCTACCTCTATTCTTCTTTTATAGACTATCAAATGGCTGTATTTAGCACCACCTTGCTCCTTAACACAAACTTAAATGTGGGTTAAAAACTCTTGTGTCAGCACTTGATTATAAGGTGTTCACCACATGATCCAAATTAAACTTATAATAAGTTAAATATATTTTTATTATGAAGCATTACAAACAGCAAAAATGTTGTACAATGGACACCCATATGCACACCTTAAAAGGGTTATCAAACTTTATGCTTTGGCATAATTGTTTCATATTTTCATTTAAGTTATAAAATGTTACAGATACATTTGAAGCCACAAGCTCAGCAGACTCCCTTACTCTGCACAATCAGTTGTGAACTTGATGTTGGTCATCCACTTTTGTGTTTTTACTATTTTACTATCTATATATATTGTGAGTAAAATGCCATGTACATGATAACTTACCTACTCTTTTTTTATTTGTACAAATTTATGGTGTGCATGTGCAATTTTACTACATGCATAGATTGCATAGGGATCAAGTCAGAGCATTAGGGTCTTCATCACCCTAGTAATGTACATTGTACCCATTAACCAGTTTTTCATCATCCTCTCCCCAGCCCCTCACCCTTCCAAGTCTCCACTATCTATCATTCCACTCTCTACGTCCATGTGAACATATTTTTTAGCACCCACTTATGAGTGAGAACATGTGATGTGTGTATTTCTGTGCCTGGCTTGTTTCACTTAAGATGAGCTCCAGTTCCATCCATGTTGCTGCAAAATACGTGATTTTATTCTTTTTTATGGCTGAATACTATTCCATTGTGAATATATACTACAATTTATCCATTCATCCATTGATGGGCACCTAGGTTGATTCCATATCTTTGCTGTTGCAAATAGTGCTGCAATAAACATACAAGTATAGGTATATTTTTGATATATTGATTTCTTTTCCTTTGGAGATACCCAGTAGTGGTATTGCTGGGTCAAATGGTAGTTCTATTTTTAGGCCTTTGAGAAATCTCCATACTGTTACCTACTCTTCTAAAATGTTTTTGGTAGCTGGGCATGGGGAGGAGACACACACTTATAGTCCCAGCTACTGAGGAGGCTGAGGTGGGAGGATCGCTTAAGTCCAGAAGTTCAAGGTTACAGATATTGTGCTATGATTGTGCCAGTGAATAGCCACTGCACTTCAGCCTGGGCAACATAGCGAGACTCTGTCTTTATGTGTCTAATAAAAAAATGTTTTTGACCTGAACATGTGGTATTTTGAGATATATATATCCTATTATATAACATACCATTCTTTATTCTCCCATTGTTTGCCATTTAGGATATTTCCAATTTCTAATTTTCCACCCTTATAAATAATGGTACCAAGAGTGTTCTCTTATATGTGACTTTATGCCTTGAGAAGGCATTTCAAGCTACTTGCTCTAAGAATGATTTTTACAGTTTTAAACGGTTACAGTTTAAATGGATATGTAAGTGTCTACCTTTGATTCTTGGTCATTGAGGTTTCCTTTTATGTGAATTTCCTATTTGTAATTTTCCTACCAATTTGTAGGAGTTCTTTATAATTCTTTATAAATTCATTCATTCATCCAACAAATATTTATTGACTATCTATCATGTGGCAGCATTGTAAATATAGTAAGTGAACAAAACAGAAGAAATCCCTGCCTGCATGTTGCTTATGTTCTGATGGAGGAAGACAGCTAATAAACAAATGAAATATTTAGTATAATAGTAAAATAAAGCAGGGATGAGGGATAAGAAGTGCTTGGGAGGGCCATACTTTCAAATAGTTTGATCAGGGTAAGCCAAGTGAAAGGTGGCATTTGAGAGAAAGAAAACCTGAAGAAGTTAAGGGAGTGAGCTATATACAAATAACAGAGGAAAGCAAGTTTAGGAAGAAGATACAGCAAGTCCAAACACCCTGTGGTGGGAATCGGCCTGCTTTTCCATGAAACAGCAAGGAGGCCAGTGTGGCTGGAACAGAGTACGCCGTGGGAGAGCAGTGGGAGAGGGGGTATAACGGAAGCTGTATAGGCTGCTGTAAGCAGTTTGGCTTTTACCTGGAGTAAGATGGAAGCCATCAGAGGGGTTTGAGCAGAGGTGTAGCATTTACAGTAACACCAGTCAGCGAGGTTGTTTGTTTTTCCTAGTCACATTCAGCACTGTGGATACAGGCATAAGCAAAGACTTGGATTTAAACTGGGCTATGGTTTTTTGAAGCAAGAATGAAGCAAGAGACAGTATTGATCATTGATGGAATTCAATCTGGGTAAGGAGGATGTAAGGGTAGAAAGAGATAGGCTCCAAAGATTATAGGGCTTCAAAGGATTGCTGGAGTTGGAAGCAAGCTAGAAGGATAGGATGTAGAAGTCAAAGAATGGGATGTTTGAAATTGAGACTGGACGGATAGCAGTTATGGATAATGGCAATGTCTAAGATATGGTCACAGGAGCGAGTAGGTGAGGCATTATTTGTAATGCTGCCTTGTTATAGATCCAGTTTCTACGTGTGTATGGATCTGTACCTTGTCTCTCTATCATGTTTCATGAGCTGGTATCACAACATATTATTACAGCTTTATAATGAGTCCTGATATCTGATATGGCAAATCCCTCTGTTCTTTCTTGAAATTATCTTGGCTATTGGTTCTTTGCTCTTACATGTGAATTTTAGATTAAGTTTACTAAGTCCCACAAAAAGCTCTGTTGGGATTTTTAGTGGAATTGCACTGACTTTATAAAGCTTTATGATATTAAGTAGTCCCAAACATGACAATATCTTTCTATGTATTAAGGTCCTCTTTAAGGCCTTTTACTTTTCTCCCAAATGGATTTGCATAAATTTACTTGTAGATACCATATAAATTTTATTGCTAGTGGGTGGGTGTTCTTTACTTGAATTTTCTAAATGATTATTAATATAAAGGAGTACTAATTTATTTTTTGTATTTTGATCTTGTATTTGGCAACCTTGCTGAACTTGTTTACTAATCTTAATATCTATAAATTATCTTGGATTTGTAGACCATCATATCATTGGCAAATAAGGACAGTTTTGTCTCTTCTTTCTTAGTTCTCATACCTCATTTTTCGCTCTTGCCTTATCACATTAGGTAGAGCCTCCAGTACAATGTTTTCCCAAATTTGATGGAAATATTTTGAAAAGTTCATGACTATGATGTTGATGATGTTGATTTTTTTATGAAGTAAAACTCATTCCCTTCTATTTCTAGTTTTAATATCAATGAATTTTGTATTTAGCTGAATGCTTCTTCTGCATCTTTTGAGAAAATCATATGGTTTTTCTCTTGCAATCCATTAATGTGGTGTTTGGAAATAAGATTTTTCTGGTATCAAGTTATTTATTTAGTTCTAGGATAAGTTCTATTGGTCATCACATATTTTTATCCATATATTGCTGAATTTGATCTGCTAGAATTTTTGTTTTTGTTTGTTTGTTTGCTCAGGATTTTTATATTTGTGTTTATAATTGATATTGGCCTATAATTTATTGTACTGTCCATATTTGGGTAAGTTAGGAGGTCCCCTCCCCCACTATGTTTTTTTTCTATTCTCTGCAATAATTTATATAAAAATAGAATCCTTAGTTACTTGAATGTTTGTTAGAACTTATCAATAAAGCTATCTGGAAATGTTATCTGTGAGGAGAGGGAAACATTACTACTTCAGTGTCTGTAATGGTTATTAATTTATTTGTATTATCCTTGAGTTGATATTGGTGATTAAAGTTTTTTAGAAAATTATCAATTTCATTTAATTTTTTACAAATTTACTGGCATCATAACATTCACTTATAATTTATTAACTCTTTAATCAATCTGTAGTTAGATCTCCTTTTTTTCCCCTAACCTTATTTGTGCCTTTTTTCTTATTATCTTACTCAATCTTGCTGATTTTTTTTTATTTCAATAGATTTAGGGGTATAAGTGGTTTTTGGTTACCTGGATGATTTGTACAGAGGTAACGTCTGCATTTTTAGTGTACTTGTCACCCAAATAGTATACTTTGCACCCAGTCTTGCTGATTTTAATTTACTTTCTCAAAGAACAACTTTGGTTACATTGATTCTATTTCACTTTTCTTTATTTCACAAATTTCTGATCATATCTTTATTATTTCCTTTCTTATATTTTCTTTAAGTTTGATTTTTAAATTCCTTTTCTAGCTTTGTGAGTCCAATGGTTAACTCATTTATTTTTAGTCTTTCATATTTTTAACAAGTACTTTCAATGTTATAAATTTTC